ACTACTACTACTACTACAGCATTTGCCTTGTGTTGAATGGAAAAATGACAGAAAACTGCCGATCAGAGCATCCGGACGCTAGAATTTGGCTGAATTTTACCTACTTTCTACTTAGTGTTGGAAATTCTTTCATCGTCGGAACTCGCACTCGAGGACGTTCCGGTTAGAGGCACTGCTGCGACACCAGTCGATGCTCTGAGGTCCATTCGATGGAAGAATATATTGGAATAGCAAACCAATCTTGAGCGGTAACAGCAACGCTGCTTCCATGCCTGGCACACCTCCCAGATCCGAGTCTGTGAGCTTTCCTTAAGTATTTGTATGTTGATAAGAGTATTGTTCTAGGGTCCAATTTTTTGTAACTTTGGATTAATGTTAAAGAATTTCACTGTCCCTTTTATTTGTTATGATGTTTAAAAAAATTCTTGCGTCTTTATTGCAACGATTCAGACGCCAATTGGCCATCAAGCGTATACGGAGTAATCCTTTGTTAAATTTTGTTTTCTCGTTGCATTCAGTCATTGCCTTTTATCCTTTCGGCCATCGGATCAGTTCGTAAAGTACCTTAGATTTTCAGCCAAACTCAAGGGCGACGAAACTATAAAAACTATAATAACACATTCTTTCTCGAATTATTTGGAACGGTTACGTAATATTATAGATGTTTATTTTAGGTCGCATTAACCACTTGGGTCCTTAGCGACGTCGTTCTCATTTATAAACACTTTACAAGTACATTAACCTTACATTACATTGTTGGCTTTAATTAGTAGATTACTATTCTTCTATTTACAGTTTCTTAAATGCAGAGCATATTCGTATCATCCGCAAAGAGAACTGTGCCTCAGTTTCAAATCGTCGAGAGCGTATCGTTTGAGTATTAAAGGATAAGAACAGAGCCTAAAATCGAACCCTACGGAACTCCACGTGCAATTGGCTATGAATAAAAAAGATGCGTCATATGTGTTGTCCAATAATTCCAGTAATCATTCCATACTCTCTGAAGTTGTTATTGAAGGTGCAAACATAACAAATCCCAAGCAATAACACGGATTCTATACAAAGATAATTTTGAGACGATGTAGAGACGGTTCCCAATAATGACACACTAGACAGTACATAAATTCACTGTTGATGTACAGACTTAAGATTGCCCAAGGCAATGTATAGTTTGGCTTTATTCCTAAGAAAAAGATAACGGAGTACCGACTTGAAAAAAAATTGTAAAAAGTAACTGAGTGCCGCCGCCGGTCGAACAGCTGCCGAAGACAGCGATGTCTCCTCGAAGGTGGTGTCAAGAGGAAGGAGCCAGGTCATGGGAGGCCCTTCTGTGCGCGTAGATAGCGTTTCTGCTTTCAGGATTACATTTAGGTGCCGTGGGAGGAAGGACTTTAGGGTTGAGCGTTCTTCGCCAGCGCCTTCTGGCGAACGCGTCGGCGACCCAGTCGGGAGGTGGTCGCCACGCGGTGCCCAAGTGTGTTCCGCTGAAGGCGAAAGTGAAGTGAGGTCACGATGACGACGAATTTTTGCGGCGCAGA